GGTAATTCCATATGAGCTAATATTCCATATGAGCTAAAACAGTAGGCCTAGTGGTAATTCCATATGAGCTAAAGCTTTGGGTGACATTAGTTTTTATGTACAAACTTGAAGGGATACAAACTTTTGTGTGGAGACCACCTCCTAATGGTGTTATTAAATTAAACACTGATGGATTCTTTTTTTTTTGCATATGGGAGGCATAGGTTTCATAGCTAGAGTTGCTAATGGAGTTTATATTTTTGTTGGGCATCGAGGATTCTTCATCAACTTATCAATTGTACAATGCGAAGAAGAAGCTACGACGACGAAGAGATTTTTTTCATGCTTGACGAGAGGGTTTCAATATAATTATCCTTGAAATGATTTTTTTATTACTCAAATGGGAGATTTGGAATATCTTATTAGACGTTACTCTGCTTTTATCTTGAAGTTTCAAACCTTTGACTGTTTTTTACTATTTCAAGGAATATAGTAGAGCATCACATTGGCATGCTAATAGAGATAGTGTAACATTATTAATCTGTCTATTTTTGGAAGGAAAGCTTCCCCTCTAATTTACATACTATGCCTTGAAGAATTGGTCATATTTTTTGAACTTTCTACTTAGTAAATAAAAGCTTCTCCTTATTTAATTAATAAAAAAAAAGAAAAAACCTTCGTGTCTTTGTGAGAGAGCAACAAACGCAAATAGTACTTCGAACAATTAAGTTATGCTTTTCATGTTCATCCTTGTCATTTTTCTATTGAATGCCTGATTACTGACTGAATAAAGAAGGAACTAAAATGATCCCTACAACTTGCTTCAACCGAAGAAAGATAATCGAACTAAAACGATGGATAATTGAACAAAAATCACTGCACACAAAATGATAATTGATAGATGATCATAGCATGCGAGGAAAATGATAACTCATAGATGAAGCATTATTACCTTGCGGGTCTTCAACCCACCAGGTTCTAGCCATTTGTTTCTCCAAAGCTATCAACAGATAGGGGAGCCATTGTGCATGTAAGGAAGGGCTCCCTCACGCACGACTTACTCGTGAGTAGCTCAGCAGCTTGACAGGGACATGACAACATAGATCACATGACCTGCAGACATGCAGCGTAGCAGATCGATACCCAACTTTTCTCCGTTCATGGGTTTGAACTTGGGATCGAGTTTATCGACTTGAACAAGTAGTTTGTGGTGCCCACTGCACCTCCTCTCGAGTCCCCTATAAATGTCTTGTACCCCTTCATACATACCCTCAAACAACAAATACTTGTCGCGAAGAAGAGAGAAAAGCTTGGCCATGGGAGTTCGCTTGGCAGGAGTTGTACGCATGAAGCACATCCTTCAACAATCTTTCCGGAACCAGCAGAGGGCGACGGCGTCGGCGGATGTCCCGAAGGGCCACTTTGCGGTATACGTCGGCGAGATGGAGAAGCGGTTCGTCGTCCCTATCTGCTATCTGCACCACCCTTCCTTCCAAACCTTGCTTCATAAGGCCGAAGAGGAGTATGGATTCGAGCACCCGAGAGGCATGCTCAGAGTTCCATGCGACGAAGATGACTTCGCTACTCTCACTTCTCAAATGACCGGCTCCTGAGAGGAAGATATTGCGTCATCATCCCTCCATCTTCGAGGAAAAATTTATCCTGTTAGAATGTGATACGTGATGAGTCCTAAAGGAGGTGGTAAGAGTGGGAGGAGATGGTGTATGTGACTGCATATAAGCAGAAAACTTAATACGTTTCTCTGAAAGAAACTGTCTTTTCTTACTTGATCTGTCTCATTGCATTCTATGCCGTCAAATCCCAAGAAGCAACTCTATACAGATATCTACACTGAGAGACGAAAGCAAAAGATATGTAGGATTATTTTTGAAATGGAATTAGATATCCTATAGTCCACAAGGCAAAAGCAAAATTCTATAAAAGATAAAATGTAAAGTATAATTATTTTGAAATATGTACGTGCATAGTTGCTACTTATAATTACTTAGAAAGAGAAAGAAAAAAAAAACATGAGAAGCTTTAACTTGCAACTTGAGAAGCTTTAACTTGTGTAGTTGGGATGACATCTCTATTACGTTCCAAGCAACTAGCAAGTTAACCGGACGCTGTGACCTGTTTTTAGTCTCGAGTGATCCTTTTCTATGACAGAATATTAGGTTTGCTTGAATGGGTGACCTTTTCTTATTCCGATCTTTCATCTAATTAATATTAAGTCGAATAATCTTTTTCTACTTGAATTACTCATTGTGATCAGTACTAAATCGACTTTGACATCAATTATTGTATAATTAATCTATTAATTTTAAATCATTGGTCTAAAATAATTAAATCTAAAGTTAAATCTAAGCTTAATCTTTACTTGCGTGAGGAGGAGGAAGCAATTAATGATGTTTGGGGACATTGCACTAAATGACTGCATCCATTGGTAGGTTGGATGACCAACATGTTCATAAGAATCGACAAGAGGCGATTGATAGCCAATAAATCCCCAAACCAGTTGGCTTCCGGCCCTCGGTTTCCCGAAACCGCAGGAGACTGGAGAGATGGCGTATGTAACGAGGCACCCTCCCTCATGCATGCACAGCAATTTGAGAGGGACGTAACAGCAAAGATCACAGGATCCTGTGACCGACATGCAGCGTCAGAGATCGTCATCCAACTTTTCTGGATTCATGGAATTAAAAAGTAAAGATGAACATGATCACTTCTCTTCAGTCCCTATTTACGTTTTGTATCCACAAAACCCCCGAACAGTGGCAGCCACTACTCCTTCGGAAGGTTCTAAGTCGAGTACGGAAGGAAGGAAAAAAAAAAAAAGCTGGCCATGGGAGTCCGATCGGGGATCAACCGCCTAAATAGCAGTGTAAATATAAAAATTATGATTATATTATTATATATAAATTTTAATATCAAAAATTAAAATTAAATAATAATAAATTATATTTATGATATGTATCTTTTGATGTTATTTAAATTTTTTTATCTAATTTATAAATGTACTATCGTCGTCGAATCCAAAAGTTACAATGTTGATCTACCATAAAAGCCTAGAGATAAAAAGATATGTAATTTCTTCATATAGTTAATGTGATTAAAGAGATATAAAAGAAGATATATAATTTTTTAATAATGTCACGTATTCACGTATCCTTATTTTGTCCTTCGAAACTCTTTTTTTTAATAAGTAAGATCAAATGATCTAAGATAAGTAATTAACAAAGTTTTTCCTATCAAGTCATCAATAATCAATATAGTGGAACTCAAGATATTAATTAATATTAATTATTTCTAAACTCTTTTCTCTAACTATTAGGTTCTTTATACTATAATGTTTTAAATACTATGTTACTTATCATTCTTAGAAAAAAAAACTGTTACGATATGTCATAAAATATCAAAGCATAGTGTAAAATTAGCTTCTAATAGTTGTAATACAATAATATATTGCTTATCATTTTTCTTTGTAAATTACCCCTCCAACTAATATAAAATATAAAGTAGACTTCTTGCTATTAAGGTAATTTATAAAATCAACATTTAAAAATATCATCATTTTAAGCTGATTAAATTTTATATATGTAAGCATACAATCCTTTCTCCTTTTCAAATATTTATTACTTTCTTTGTAACCTTTTAGCGTTTTATTCTATGATAACTCTAATATATATTAAGGATTCCAACTATAAAATTAATATTTAATCTTGTATAAGCTTGAGCATATAATAGACTTTCAACTACGTATTCATAATAAATTTTTTTTATCTGATTCTTTTTTAATCATTTTAAAAATATTTATTTTGACTGTTTTCTTTACTTTTGTCATTTGTTAAACAAAACTATATATTAAATTTCTTCAAAATTCGATCAATATATCTTTCTATGATAGTCCTAATAATCATTAAGATCTATCCCTAAATATCTTAATACCAAAATACATAAGATGTTTTATTCATATTAACCATCTTAAAATTTTTAGTGAGAATTTTTTTTATTTTAATATAATAAATCAAGATTACTATTGGCAAGTAAAATATTATATACATATAGATCAATATAATAAACTTACTCTTATTGATCTTTAGAAATAAATACTAATCAATAATATTTTCTTAAATTCAAAAAAATTAATGATATCATGAAACTTTATATACCATTATCTAGAGGTTTATTTAAGGTTATAAATAAAATTTCTAAATTTTCATACCAAATTATATATATAAATATTATTTTTTTATAAATAATTTAGGTTAATCCATCTAGAAACCCATTAAAAAAACTTATTTTTGCATCCATATGATGTAACTCAAAATCATAATGAGTCACTAATATCATGATAATTCTTAATAAGTTTATTTAAAAAACTAGAAAAAATATCTCATTATGATTGATGTAATTTTTATGAGTAAAATATTTGACCACAAGTCTAACCATTATAACGTTCAATATTGCTATTTAAGTTATGTTTATATAATAGATTCTTTTACAATTATTAGGTAATTCGATGAGTTTTCAAACACCATTCAAACCCATTGATTATAATTTACTACATCGTACTACTTTGTAGAATCATTACTTTTTATAACTTATAAAAATAATAAGAAATCATTTTTCCTATATCATAATTTAATTCTCATAGATATATCATATAATAATTAAAAATAATATATTTCCTTTCCCTATGAGATCTTATTAAAACTATCAGTTATGATTAGTCTACAAGATCATTAGTAATAATATCAATATCTTATGAGAGTTTACTAATGTTATTTTATTGTTTGCTTTTATCAAATCAAGTGATTTGAGGAATAAATATAAAATGATAAAAAAGTATCATCTTGTATCTCCTTAATATCAAGATTGAATTTTAAGATTTTTACTCCCACTAATTCACTCATTTAAGTTTTACTTATCCTTAATTTTATTATAATGAATTTAAAATAAGTTAAACTAAGAAGAAATAAAATTAAGAATAAATTATATGAGAAAAAACTTAACTATATTCATATCTAATGTTCTTGATATTACAGCTTTATTAACCATATTTGAGGGTAAAATTTTTAATTTCTTAAATATTATTATATTAAATTTCAATCAGATTTTTCATTAATGTGTCAATTAAATTTAAACTAATCTTTAAATATTCTAAAGCATTAGTTATAAATTATAACGAAGTCTAAATATTATTATCAATTATCATAAAATTAGATCTTTTCCTAATCATTTATCTCAATTACTTGTTCTACAAAGCTTTCAATAATTATGCCCGTGTCCTTTTAGCTAGTCTGATTAAGGTTAAACATACTCAATATAAATTGTATATGCTCAAACTATTTATAATAATTTAATTAAGAAAATATATAGATATTTATCAAAATACAATGAAAGTAGTAACACTATAATAAAATAATATAATATTAATGTTTTAAGTCTTTCAATAAATATTGAACTACTAATTTCATCCCTATTTTATCTTTGGGTGAAATATTAACATATCTAGTATTTATACAAAATTTTTATGAGGACTGATTTTATCCTCATAGAATAGTATTGCTATCTTTATATATATAATCATAAACTACAAGGATATCCAAAATAATATTATCTTACATCATCATATAATTATTCAAATTAGATTCTCATTTGAGATTATCTAAATCTTCTAATTATGTGTATCATTATGAATATTATTTTTCTTAATATCATTTAGAACTAATTTTTTAATAAAATTTTATAAGTTATTGGTCTAAGCCACTTTGATGGCTACAAAACCAATACAATAATATAAAATATAATTTAAAATATACTATAAATAATAAATATTTATTACAATTTACATCCTATAAGTTTACCATCCCAAATCATTTTGGTAGCTATTAGTCAAATAAAACTTAGCGATATGAGTTACAAATAATATTCACCAAAAAAATTTAATTTAATATATATCAAATTAGCTCAATAATAAAAAAATATTATTTTATAATTTTAAATATATGAATATGAACAACTAAATAAATATCTAAGAATGATAATTAAATTTTTATTTATCGTATGTAAAATTTTACTAATATGTCATTTGAGAAAACTATAAAATAAAATCATAATTTATATATATTTTAAATTTCATATGGAACCCTTAGACCAATCAACTCTATTTAATTGGGTAGACTCAAAATTGGGATTGGGCTCATAGATTTGGCTAATCATTCATCAAATTAGGTCAGTCAAAATTAAAATTGATCAACATAAAAAATTAATGAAAATTTAATCTTCTCCAAATTCGATCAAAACTTAATTGATCAAATTTAAATCTAATCAAGCAGTCAAAATAAAGTCATGATGATAAAAAAATTTGATTGAAATAAATCAAATTAATCAATTTTATAGTTAAGGACATAAGTCAAAAAATTATAATTTCTGAAGGGTAAAAGTATACTTTTACTTAGGACATATAGTGAAAAAAATGAATTTATTAAAGGCATAATTTGAAAGTAAATTGAAGGACAGAGATTAGATTTTCTTTATTTTTTAGGGTTAAAAATGTCCTTTTCTAATAATTCTCTTTCGTAGTTATCGATGTCATGCCCACGCGCATGGGTCTCGTTGGCGGTGCACTTACCATCCGTTGCTTGCGTGCTGCTGCTTGTGGCGGTGTGACTATTCGCATGTGGATGACCAGTAGTCTCATCATTGTCGTGTCGTGCCATTGCACCCCCGTGCGGTTGTGTGCCATTGT